CCAAAAGTACGCGAGCTGAGGAAATGGCTTGTCATAACCCAGCATACTTGGAATAGAGGCTTGAGGTTTAGACATTCGAAAGTATTGCAATAGACTTAAAAAACATGTACCGCAGTTTTTACAGCATCACATCAAAATATGATAGCTGCGCTCAGGTTATAAGTCGCAAAACGGTGCGTGGTCATTCCCAACTCAATTCACACGACGAAAAATTGTATACGGTGGCACCTGCATATTCGACGGCGTACAAACCGTCCAAATATGCAATTGTAAAAAAGTACGCAATACTATTGTAGTTAGCAAAATGTAGTTTATATCATGACAGCTTACCCTGCAGGCAGGAGTTAGAAACATATTTCGGAATTCTACTTGATGTTGAACGGGATGGGGATGTGTTTCTGCAGGTTCCGGTAATTGCGTCGTGACCTTCTCTAGAGGAGGAGAAGGACTCTAAAAAGAAAATTGGAAGTGAAAAGTGAAAAAATTAACAGGATCGAAAAGTGAAATATTAACAGAATTGAAACCAAAGAAATGAAGGCGCCTAAACTGCAGAAAAAAGTAAAGAAATTTATGATAAGTTTCAAACAGTTGAGAGAGCGAACTTTCACTAATTTTTAAATACGGAGCACGAGCATTTTGACCTTTGCTTATTCGGAAACTCTAGCAGCGAAACATTAGAGCAAGATAATATTACAGTAGCCAAAGATTATACGAGAACGAGATATCCAAAGGACCACATCGAAGGAAAATTATCGAAAAATCACGCATCGTTTTAAAGATTTCCTTCAAATCCAACCTGCTACGATCGAACTGTTTTTTTAATGGATCCTACTTCTGCTAAATTATTCATGTTTCTAGAAGAGTAGTGTATAGAAGGAATGTGATTAAACTGAAAAAAAAAACGATTGTAGGGCACTTTCGGGAGTGTTCAGTTACGCGAAAACAAACAAAAGCAAACCTTCTCTTTCACTGCTGATATCGGTATCATTGTGATATGCTGAGAAGAGGTGGGTATTGCTGGTACAGTCACTGGTGGCGAGGGCGGCTTGGGAGGGGAAGGTGCGATACTAAAATTGTTGTATAATCGAAATTAGGCTAACCTGCTCTCATATATGTCTGAAATTCTGCTACACCTAATTATAAAACCAGTACCTGGTATCACGAGATGGCGCACTAGTAAAAGACATTACTGGAACGACTGGTGGCGCGACTTCTCTCATCGCTGGCATCTAAACTTCCAATAGAGAATGCAGTTTGAAAACAACCAATCGTCTCCAGCACACAATAAATTGATTAAAAGCAGTGTTATTAACGAATTACCGTAGTAACAGGTACAGGTACAGTAGGAACTGTATATGTAGTAGGTTGTGTTAATGAAGGGACAGTTGGTTTTTCTGCTTCTCCTATGGAGAGGTTACTAATAAGCTGCTCCACAGGAACACTATTGTTAGTTGGCGTTGTGTTCGTAGCCTGAATTAGTGCGAATTTTCAACTCTCTAATGAGTTTTCATTGCAAAATATTACCTCAGGCTTGATCTGCGCCTTATTAAAAGCATGACTTTGTCGAGGTCCGTATCGCTGGCTTGGTCTTCTCTCAAAAGTTGCTGTCGTTCTGCGAGACAGACGAGCACCATCCTTATGAACAGCTTCGTACTCAGTCCTGCCTCTGAAATTATGGGGCTTTCGACAACTGTCATAAATTTATATTTCAATTTGTATAAATCAATCAATTTTGATAGTAGTGGCAGTTGACCCCATTACTTCTGAAGCATGCAGGAAAATCTTACAAATATTTTGGTTTGCCGATTATTGGTAGCGTAATCACTACCATGCGACATTTCGGCGCCCCGTTGATCTCATTCGCGGAAACAAGCTATAACGAAGAGAATGGATCTCACCTGTACTTGAAAGTGCTTCCAAGCCGGAATAACTGCGAACGTGAGTGCTTTACACATGAACGAGTTTTCAACCGGAAGAAAGTGTGATGTTCGATGGCACATTTCCACAAATGTTTGCATGCCTTATGGGAAGCCAAATTGAAGACAAACGTGTGCAACTGAACTTGCCCGGTTGCCTGCAATTCCGATAATTTATTACAGCAAACTCATTACCGTCGAGCTGGACTAGCTTGCTGAGCAATGGTAACAAACGTACAGATTGATCGGCATCTTCTTCAACAACTAGTGTGATTTTTCGATTCTTGAAGTCCAGTTTTTGTATTTTCTCCCAGAAAAAGAGGCCAATTTTTTCGTTGCCATCATAAACCAGCATTCCTGACGGTGTTAAACCCAGAGTGTACCTGAAAGGGTTCAGAAAGGTAACAATTATCACATCAGAAAAAGAAGAAAGCATCTTTTCCGTTTGTTTCGGCGCTCATGACCTTAAGGAGGGAGGACATCCAAAACAGTGCATTTGAAAACAGCTGGAACATGATACAAGGGCTAAGCTCAGGGAAGTGGAGAAACGCCTGTGAGATCATAGGTTTGCTCACACCACATCCAAAAACCCTTTCCCTCCCTGAAGCTTAATCCCAAGTTCTGTCAGTGGCCCATTCACTTCAATATCCCCTGAAGACATTAGCGCCAACTTTTCTATACGCCTTATTGAAATGCAGATGAGATGCAGAATTTATGAAACATCCATACAAGTCAGAAAACTGAAAGATCAGAGGTGGCGTAAGGCTGCT